TAATGTATTAACAGTAGAACTAGCGAACCAGTCAAAATGACTGACTCCAAGTTTCTTATTTTAAATTATAAATTTTATGAAGGTATTTTTGTTGAAATGTATGTTGGCTAATAAATAAATTAGTCTGTAGTTTACGATATTCGGCCAATTAAATGAATACTCCAAATATTCTAATATTCTACTATTCTAATGTTTAAAGACTGGAGAATTTAAGTGTTCTAATACGCGATACTCCAAATATTTTAATATTCTAATGTTCTAAAGTTCTAAGATTCTAATATTCTAATATTCTAATGTTCTAATGTTCTTGTGTTCTTGTGTTCTTGTGTTCTTGTGTTCTTGTGTTCTAAGGTTCTAATATTTCAATATTCTAATGTTCTTATGTTCTAAGGTTCTAATATTTCAATATTCTAATGTCCTAATATTCTAATATTTTAATATTCTAAGGTTCTAATATTCCAATATTCTAATATTCTAATGTTATAATGTTCTAAGGTTCTAATATTCCAATGTTCTAATGTTCTAAGGTTCTAATATACCAATATTCTAATATTCCAAAACTGGAGAATCTATGTGTTCTAATACGCGATACTCCAAATATTGTAATATTTTAATATTCAAAGGTTATAATATTCTAATGTTCAAAGGTTATAATTTTCAAAGGTTCTAATGTTCTAATGTTCGAAGGATCAAGTTTCTTATTTTAAATGAAAAATTTGATCGAGGTATTTTTATCGAAATGTATGCCGGCTATTGTCGAGGTAAAGCATAGATGTATGTATTAAATTATGTTTCATCCTCTATCTATTTAATTTTCTACATTATTTTCACCTTAAAAATAAGTGTACATCAAACATCAGTTGTTCTAATGTTAACGCTTTAATGACCATTCTCATATTCTTTGCCTTGTAATTTTGTAAATTAGTAATTTCATCGGCTAACACTAATTTTTTTATTAACACGTTGAATGCCATTGGGTCACCGCAAATTACACATAACTGAATAATTAAAAGTAAAACAATAGAAAAACATTATTTTAAATAACATTGCTAGGGTAACGTATACAGTTGTTGACCCCTATGCAATGATTGACCTTTTTCCTAAAAAAGTAAGAAATATTTGACCTTAACTCTCAGACGGCGGAATATGGAGAGAGCCCGAAGACGGCGGACCATGGAGAGAGCCACAATTCTAATTTAATCCTGTATTTCATATTATTTTCAAGCTCCGCTGTTAAATAATAAAATATAATTATCCTTTGTAGCTCAAATACTTTTGGTTCTAAATAGAATTATAGTCTCTTATGTAAGAAAGGTATTATATTATATTTTCTATTTTTCTAGGAAAAGGGTTAATCATTATATAGAGGTAAATAACTGTATACGTTATTCTATTGTACAAATAACATAAAATAGTAAATAAAAAGCTTGAAATTTGAAAATTAACTATTCCTATTCTTAATAATTAGAGTTTCAATATGTCCCACAACGAATGTTCATCTTCACTGCAGCATTCAAAAAGAGGCTTGTCATTGTAAGTTATAAATTTGATAAAATGTGAAGCAATCAAAGTGTTAATATTATACTATCATAATAAGTTTTAAATTACATTGTTATTGTTTAAAAGAATATTGCATCACGTGTTATTTTCATCTGAAGTGGTACCAAATATATTGAGAGCATAAAGGGAAACTTATTAATATAACCGCGTATTTCAGTCACGCGTCCGTCAACCTTGCTTCATTTATTTGCTATATTTGACTATTTTTAACTTTCGTTATAGCAACCTCATTTACCATCTAATCCATCACTAGTTTCGTTGGATAATCCTGGAAAGTAGGAAAGAAATTGAGAAAAAAAGATGCGACATCAACAAACTGATTAAAGCGTTAATGTTTTACAATTTAACTATTTTTTTCTTTTTCTAACAATTTTTGTTGAATTTATTTTTAAAAGAAGTCATCTTGCCTGTTTGCTTATAATATCCTGAATATTTTAAAATATCGTTTTTAATATTTATATAAATTAGTAATATTAAGTGTAAGTAGCCATTCTCATGTTTTCTCAATTTCTTTGGTATACTAATACTGAACAAAAAAAATTAACATCCGATACCGGAGAAACACTGGATCCAGTATCGATTTCGTCCGAAAGTGAAATTTGATAGCAAAATAACACCAGAACAAGAAGAAAAAAACTATTCAGAAATATACCAAAAGTATCTCTACTCAATAATAAAATATTTAAGTCTTTTCATCCCTTGTAATTTGTTTTTATTATTATTTTATAATAATCAATTTCAAATATGTATATCACTTAAAAATAATGAATATTAATAATATAAACGTGAAAAGTTGTAAGGAACTAATTTTGAAAATTATTTTTCAAATAAACTACGATTTTCTACGCTGGCAGAGCATGTTGAAACGCCACGGAAGTCGAGCAAGTGACTTTGAAGAAGCCTGTTCTACAAAACCACTTAAGATCCTTTGTTTGTTATTCTAGAAGCACATTCAAAACAATATTCAGCGGACAAAACGCTTTTGTATACCACGAGTTTAATTGTGAATAAGACAATGCCTGAATTCCCAAAGGTCAAAGGCACGTTAATCTATAAGCAACACAAATTCCTTCGATACCTCCTTCACGATTAAATTTCGTTCCTGAAAATGTATTATACAAATCTAAAGATCGAATATTTCTCAATCACTACGTGAAACAATATAATAACTAAATCGGTTCTAACCAACGCAACGGTATAATAGGGCTCCTAATATTCACAATATTACCACAAATACTGTTTACAATAAAATAGTGTTACAAGAATAGTTTATATTAAATTACTTTCTATTTTTTTCTTTCATCACACTCATCATTCATATCAATTCTCCAACCGATCCTCTTATATTTAATTACATAATCATGCGTTTAAATAAATCATGAATTATATTGATATTATCAGAAAAATTATGATTTATGTTTTCTTTACTTACCTTATATTCACAACCGCGGAGAAGATTTTTCAAGTTACCGACCTACGTTACACCAGATCATTTTTAATTTTCAATAGTAACAGATTCTTCCTTCCACACGTATACTATTGCTTACGAATTCCATTTGGAAGATACACAAAGTATTCACACACGAATTTGCAGTAAACGCGCGAATGGAAAATTCAGTGTGTTTAAATAACTGATTAGAAAACAAGAGGTATACGGAAAGAGATCCGTCTCTTACCGTTGTCGTTCGTAAACTCATGGTGCGAGCTTGATGCGATCGTGTGCTCTTCCCCCACTCCGTTCGAGTTAATCGTGGCGAAGAAACCCCTCGTGTTGTTCGTATTTCGAACCTGACTCTTCGTGTATACACGGATACACGCGTGTACCATACACCATCGTTCAAAAGTTGAGCACTGGCAAAGTGTATTAGAATGTTACACATTTAAAGAAAAAAATTCTTAATTCTACCAGAGTGCTCCCTCCCCCTCCCTCCGAAAACCCTATCTACGCCAATGCATAATAATCCTCAACATAAGCGTGATAATATTCTGATCAACTGTAGGTATTTTATGAGAAAAGAATAGTGGTACATTTTAGTATCGATCGAAAGTTTTTGTATCGATTTCATTTTTCGATATAGCAACACGTTAAATTTAGAACTGCTTGCAGATATCGTTAAGCATCATTCAGGCACGCTATGCGGAGTTATCAAAAAATTCACGAGCATTATTGCCATGCCAGAAAGAGGTCTAGATTATGCGATAAGACGTACATACATATACACGTAAACCGTACCGTATTGCATTACACAGATGCATATGTATATCACTGCACCTGCACCGGTTGTCTATACAATTTGATCTACGTAACCGCAATGCCATTTCATTTGTCTTGATAAAATCAATCTTGTACCAACCGTAACTTAAACGAGTGCAATTAATTATCATTAGAAAATAAGTTTTATATAATATGCTGAATATTTGAATTTATAAGTGTAAATGTTCTTAGAAATATTTTTTTGTAAAAAGAATTCTTTTCCTTTAAATAATTCCACAAAATTTTGTATTCGTATAAGACAATCCTTGAGGTGAGGTAGAATTTTTCGTGCACCGCCATGCTTCGTTTTCTTTTGCAATGAAAAGGACCTTTATATGGTTCTCCCTCTTTTTGGCTACCCTTCTTGCCCTTCGATACACGTAACTTGTTCTGCAACACACTTCCATGAATAAGTAACATGACAGACAAGGAGACTCTATTAAAATAGAAGGCGGAGCTTTAGGGCGCCTCACGCAATACCGTTCTATGTACATATGTACACGTATATACACGTGTTTGCTTCAAGTATTAAAGCCCTTTCCTACTGATATGTACTATACAAAAATTACAACTCAGCTATCGGTATATTTTATAATAGACAAGGATGGATGTAGGGTGCTCACATTTGTAAGAATGAAAGGTTGTATACAGAAGCGATTTGTAAACTTTTCAATCATTAAAAATTGAATAAATAATTGAAATAATTCAACTTATCAGTGGACGTTAACTAGTCACTTACTCTAACGAGAGGGATATTAAAAATTGAAATATCGATATTCCTAAATCAACTTCCGGTTTTTAAAATAATGCGACACACGTAGAGGAAACTACTTAATATTCCTCTAACTTATAAGCATATATTCTTGTTAACGATTTAAAAACGTGACAAAACTTGTGTATTTATTTACAGATAAAACATTAATTTATAGATAAAGTTATACACAACTGAAATTATATGAGTGATTTAAATAACAAGAGTAAATAAGAAGAGTACGACAAATTTTGTTTTTAAGTGTGGGGATTATTCTTTAAAAATATTATATATAATGTTCAGAACAAAATAGGTAGATCAAATTAAAATAGATAACAAATGATCATTTTTGTTCTCGCGCGTCTTTCAAATTTTGATTGCAGAAACAATATGAATACTTTTTTAAATTAGACGTCAATGCAGTCAATTCCGTTTGAGTGGCGCTCTTGTCGTATCCGGCCACGTTAAAATTGTTTGGTTAGAATATTTAGCTAGAACCTTGGTTGGCTAATTGAATATTGTGACCTATAGTCTTTCGAAATTAAATGTGTGTAGAATAGTGGTCAAACTATAACAAATAAAAAACTAAGAAAAAAATGAACTACTGGTCAATTTGCTTGCTATTACTCTCGCTATTTGGTACAATATTACGTACTGGTGGCGTCGAGCTAACCTTTGAACTTCCTGACAATGCGAAACAATGTTTCTTTCAGGAGATTGAACAAAATGCAACAGCAATGCTTGAATTTCAGGTATATAGATCCTGCATCATTGAATAAAACAATCTTTTCGGTAACAATCGGTTACAAAACAGTATTCGATATTACTGTAATTTGTTATCACCTTGCAACTATTTTGTCAACTTACTGTCAAATCAAACACGTTGCAAATTATCATAATATCATTGCTTAAGTTATTTGTTTAAAATACCATTGTAGGTAACATAGAAAAATCTGTTTGAAATTAAACAAATGGTTTTGTAAATACTTTTCTAGGTTGTAACAGGTGGACAGTACGATGTAGATGTAATGTTAGAAGCCCCAAATAAGAAGATCATTTATCAGCAAATAAAAACTCAATTTGACTCACATCAATTCACAGCACCAATAACTGGAGCTTATCAAGCCTGTTTTAGCAATGAATTTTCTACATTTTCACACAAGCTTGTTTATATGGATTTTCGAGTTGGTGATCAGTTGCCACTTACAGGACTTGGTGAACATGCAACTGTTATGACTCAGGTAAAAGAATTTATCTTAACAAGTTTTATATTAAGTAAAATACATTTAAGGCAATTGTATGTATGATATAAATATTACATTTTAGATGGAGTCTTCTGCACAAGAAGTATATAAAAACTTGAATAGTATCTTGGATTATCAAACACACCATCGATTAAGAGAAGCTCAAGGACGTAAACGTGCAGAGGATTTAAATACCCATGTACTAGCATGGTCTATCATGGAAATGCTTACGATCTTAGTTATATCTGTATCAGAAGTGTTCATTTTAAAAACCTTCTTCACAGAACGAAAAAATTAGTACATTTGTTAGTATATTTGCGAATTATAATGTTTACTTTGTCCGCAATAAAATAACTAATCTGTCTGAGTAACGTGAAACAGTATTACATCGAATGTTTCATAAATCAGTCATGGTGCCATGTTATAACTTTGGCCAGTTGTTATGTCCATCCTCGTTTTGGATACAGAAATACAACTCCAAACAGACGGTATATTATAGTAAGTGAAACTTACAGCCGTTTCCTTGCGTATAAGAATGTTGTGTATGCGCGTTCATGTGTATATCGTTTAATATTAAGTTATATGAACAATAGGACGTTTTAATATCGGTACCTGTTTCATCATGAACAATAAAAAAGAATGTGAGAATAATTGAATTGTTATCTGTTCTTGTAATAAATTTTTAATAATCGTACTTTGACACTGATAGTGTAACATTGTCATTAGAAACAATTTTCTTATTGTGAATGTGTAATATAATAAAGTAAATTTTTGCGCGTAATGACTAATCTTTCTTTGCTGCATTACAAACATTCGAATGAAATACAGTTAAAAGGTATAGGTATGTCATAGAATGAACTTGAATTCTTTACGGAAGTACGTAAGTGGTATCATCAGTGACTACAGATCCAACAAGACTGGAGAGCATGATTTTGGGAATTCCAAATACCTCCAGGTGAAATTAGGTCTGCATGTACAAAGCACAGTTGGTATAACAGTCGTGTCTTACTACTCCCTCTTCTACTACACCTCACACTCACAACTGAAGAAACATAATTTTGACTGCCTTTGACTCTATTGTTTATAAATCGATAAAAATCGTACAATACCGTAAAATTATTAAGATAATTGTTTGACAAACTTGTATTTTAAAAAAACCGCCACAAATTATATTTAAAATTCGATTCTAGCGCCATTTATACAAGAACGGCAGAAACTATTCAACAACTTATCAACCGAGTTTTCGAACCAGGGAACACAATCGCCATCTATTAAAAGGCGGCTGCAATTACTCGACAATTTACTGACTGAAAATCCGAGTTTCGAGAAATCAGTCGGTAAATAAATAGGCATGCAAGAAAAAAGAAAACTACTTCTTTTTTTTAAATATATGTATAAAATTTAATAGTAAATACATTGAATGGAAAATCAAAATACTTTCTATCCACTGGGTATATTCTCTCGACGTTCCGATCGTCATAAGAGCGCTTGTGTATTTACCATATATTATGGAATGTGTATACCACAGTTCACCAGAGTCCATAACTGCGAAAAGACCAGTTTTCGTTCTTCACGCATCTCCAGTACGCATCTTCGCCCTGATTGGCGATACTCCCAAACGAAGTGGAAAGCGATTAGCAGAGAACTCGCTGTGTTCCCCCACCATCTTCCAACCTGGACTCTGATGAACTGCGGATAGATCCTAAATAAAGTTATTATGCGCAGAATGAGCAAAACTCTCGTCATTTGGAACTAAATAAATATTAATAAAATAAGGAAAAAACATACAGGATTATACAAAATCCGTCTCTCATAAAACATCCCTTATATTGGGGAAAGAAACTATATTTTATATATGGCATATATGGTTGTATTGCATGGTTTAATATTAAAAAGTAATAAACAGTAGTTTGTTAATTGTCGTTGATAGTAATGTAAATAACAAAAAGAACGTAAAATGACAAAAATTGTTGAACTACGTCCTAACAAAAATTTGATAAATACGAAATTTGAAAAATACCAGTTTTCAACCGAAGAAATTCCCATAGATACTGAGATAAATTTAAAAGCAAGTAAGTTTAAACAAAATGCTACATTTTTATTTTAAACATAAATTGTTATTAACAATCACGTTTAAACAATAATCATATTTATTAAATTTACAGATGTACGTAGGTTAGAGTTAACAACAAACCGAGATTCTCTATTAGAAACTCGATTATTTGCATTCCATAATCATTTATTTAAAAATCCTTATGATACATCATGTTGGTTTATTGATGAAAATTGGTTTGTTTGGCGATTAAAAATAGATGGAAATTTGGAACAAATGCATTTAATACATAATTCAGATGCAAATGTACAAAATGTATTGTACAATCCATCAATTGGATTTACTAGTAATAATATTGTTGCAATTTCTGACGGAGGGGATTGTTTAAAATTATTAATAACAGATACTCAAGAGCATGTTAAAACTTTCACGTTAAGTGATGCAGAACCTGGAGTTATATTAGATATACGTTATGTGAACGATACATCTTCCATTGTTATTGTAACATGTGATATTAGAAGTACAGGAGAAAAGAAATTTACAAGATTGGTATTATTAACATATTCTTGGAAAAATGCAGGAGATACCTGTGAATCGTTTGAGCTTAATAATAAAGAAACATTAAAAGTAAATGGTGCTGTTGAGTATCTGTATATAGAAGACTCTGGTAACTATTTGCACTCTATTTGTCAAGACTATATTACATTTGAATGCCCAAAAGTACAAAAAACTACTGACGATAAAAAAGATTCAGAAAAAAGCAAAGAAATAAAAATTCCAAAATATTGCTGGTCTCAACATGAAGATTCTATCACAGTTTGGCTTACAATAGATAAAGAGCATAAAGATAAAGTCAAAGTAAATGTAACACCATTAGAATTGTCTGTAACAGTGAATGATAACGCACTGATCCAAGGACAGTGTCAACACAGACTGGATGAAACTTTAACAACATGGAAATATGAAGAAGATACATTTAAACTAGAATTATATAAATTTGAAAGTGGTTTAATGTGGAATGAACTGATTAAGGGTGATGCTGGTGGAGAATGTTTACCTAATGAAACATTAGCTGCTGAAATTCATTCAAGGTATATCATATGACGTACTTGTTAGAATTAATCTTATATTAATGCTATTTTGATTTTAATATTCTATTTCGTTATGTTTAGATTAGCACATTTATGCACAGACCAAACAGATAATAAACAAGGTCAACCTTGTTTAGGGTTCAATGCTGAACAGCTTGAAGAATGTGATCTTGAAGGAAAAGATAGTTTGTTGCAAAGGGTTGATCTCAAAACACAAGAAAGTACACACTTAGCTATGCTCGGAACAAGCAACCATGTATTATTTACATATAAAACAAAGTCTGGACAAGCGATTTGTTTAAGACACGATAATGATGGTTGTTTATGGATAACTGGTCAAGTAGATGATACCAAATGGAATATGGAACATTGTTATACCTTTCCTGGTTTCGGTTATGTTGAAGCAAGCAAATGCAACAAGAAATTTTGTGTCTCTCCTAATGGTAAATATTTAATTACTGTACAAATATAAATTTAGATACATCTGAATCTTTTATACTTTCTAGATGGTTCTTATGTTGCTATATTGGAACATACAAGATACATATTTCTTTATAAAAGGCCTGAACCTAATATTCAAGTTGGAAAACAATGGATCGTGGATTTAGGTACTGAAACTTGTCCCATCATGGGAGCTGTTGCCACAAATAAATATTTAATTGTTCTTACTAAAAACAAATTATATCGACTACATATCTGTTTTTGAAATTAATTATATTCGCTTATCGTAACTACATGCAGATACTTCATAAATATAGCCTATGATTTTGCCCGGGCTGTACCACACATCATGTATGGTACGCCTATCTGTTTACATAAATGTACATCTGTTATTTTCTTATAAAATACATGTACGCATTTTTGTAACTTCAGTAAGAACTCGCAATTCTTGTATTTGTATATTTATAAAACTATACATGTATACATACATGTATAGGAATTAATGTCATAATTATAAATCATTAATAAGAAGTTTTATATTTACCTTAATGTTTAATTTACTACCCTAGTATTCTAAACCCTCGCTATGCGACGGGCATTTGTTACTAATATGTTTTGCAACAATATCAATTGTGAGCTCCTCATCGTTAGGCCAATACCAAATAACGCGATTTTCAAACGATTGAATGAAATTTGCTTCTGCTTCCGGTGGTCGATGTTTGTCAAATATGTTCTTACCCGTTTTAGAATTAAACACATACGTTATAGAATATCTTTTACTACAATGCCGGGTCCAAGGAGGGGCAGTACTTTTTAAGAAAATTACACTGTTTGGTATAAAGTATGGTTTATCGTTATCAGAATTGTTGCATTCTAAAGAAGTTGTAGGAATTTCATATACTAAAGCCAGTCGATTGTTCTTCATTAGACGTTGCTTTATTTGCAATGTTTCACGTATGTTTGGATCTACTGGAAGTAATTCTTTAACACGCACACGAGTGTATGTACCGCCGACAGGCTTCCATAAAGCTTCACAAAATAGCTTTGTGAGTTCGTGCCTATTAAAAATTGTATATATCGGTAAAAATATTGATTTAACAGTAAATTTGTAATATTCGTTTCATTACCTGTCTCTCAAATATTTGCAACTAACGTTTTCAGCTCCTAGGATGAAAGCGTCTAAAATATGTAATGTCTGTACTTTTTTCTGATTTCTGAACTCCTTTGCCATCTCGTAGACGACCTCAGCATACACAAGTGTATCTGGTGGTAACTCTACATTGATATCATTAATCTGCGTCCAAATACCTCGTATCAAACGGTACACGTTACTCCTTCCCATGCCCATATAAAATGTAGCATTTTTATTGGGTTCGGTCGAAAGTCCAGTACTACAGGGCATACAGAACCAATCATAAGGTTCAGTCAACATTGTACTTTCCATAGTTTCCTTCGTCAATCTTTTCGCAGGAGTCGAGATAAATTTAGTATTATTTTCAAGAAGAACTTTCAGTTTATCTTGAGGCTTCATATGCCTCGGTATTGTTCTGCTTTCGTCTGGAATCTCCCAATATTTAAGACACTCTTTACGCATATCCGCTTGCTTCGTTTCAACAAGAGTATTGTCTTCACAAAATGCAGCAATTTTGCGCAAACCTATGATTTGTTTCCTTCCTAAATCATCGTTTGATATACGCAAATATTGTACAAATTGTTTTTCCTTTTCTAATTCATCCAGTGATACTAACTGTAGAACGTCATTATTATCATCGCTTTTCAGAAGCAAATTGTTAACGTATTTAAGATAACGTAAAACGTCTTCTGTACCAGAACGTTTAGTTTTACATATTAAATAACGTTCTGAATTTGCTGGTCTAGAGGAATTTGGCTTGAAAATAGAAATTTCTTCGAAACAACGATACATTAAGTAAATTAACCCAGCACTGAATGGTGTGAAAAGGTCGAATAGCTTCGTGACAAAATGACCCTTCTCTCGTACAATCATCAAGGCTACTAAACATTGGCAGAGATACAATTGTTTTGAAAGAATCTCTTGTATATTTTCTTGACCTTCTACTGAAAATCCTCCGTCAGACATCATAAAATGTACTCCTTTGCCATGAGTATGTGTCATTACAAGATCTCTGAAAGCTTCCTGGTTGATGGGATCAAAAACATCACCGTTCTCTTTTGGTCCATAATATGGGTGAAATGTTTCACAAGGACCTGCGTAAAAATCAGCTAATTTAAAGTCGTTTTCATTCTTCAAAGTAAGACCAAATCCTTTTGCATGCCATTTTTTTCTCCATAAAACATATTCACTGAAACCACCTGGCCCAGCACATACGTCCGCGAAATATAACAATTCATTGTCTTGTAAACCTTCCGGCTTGGTAAACATAAAGTCGCATGCTTTGTCTATATTTGCCATTTTAACAGCAGCACGATTTAAAAAGAACGCACCGCGAATAGTTTCATAGGGATTACAACGTGTCCTCGCACGACGTACTTCTATTTCGTCTAAATGATCAAATATTGATTTTGCATTAATAACATTTATAACTATATCTTCATCACAGAATTGGGTTTCATCGTCTATAATAAGCTTCTTAGGTCCCTTTTGCAACCAGAGTTGCATTTCTTCGAACGATGGCAAACAATTATCTGGATTTCTTATCCATTCCATGTCTTCTTTAACTTTTATTTCTTCTTCTTTAGGATCCCATTTAAGACTTGAAGCTTCGAGTCCTGGTACATGATGTCCAAGACCTCTACGACCATGTTGTTTAGGGGCCTGTACTGGTTCTAAGCGACCTTGTTTATTCTTTCCGAGACCATGGCCTTCTTTATATCCCATCATACGCATCATTCGTTGAGCCTTATCTTGCCCATCAAGAAAATTTTTAGATTCTTGTTTAATAAAATGTTCTCCTCCATCGTACTCTCTTTCCTCCTCATTTGTATCATCGTCACTTTTTTCATTTGTTCTTTGAATCTTTGGTAGTTTACCGTAATGATGATAAGGATCATCGTGTGGTCTTTTCCTTGATTTACTTTCCTTTGCATCATCATCCATACATGCATTTTGTACACTCTGACATTCCTCACCAGAGTCTTGTTCACAAGATTTATACATATTATGTCTAAATTTCATATCGTCTTTTTCGTCAAAACTTTTATCATAATATTCTTCGTTACAATCGCTATCATTTAAGTCTGAAGTGTCATCTGTTAAAGTAGTATTACTTCTTTTTCTACCGCGTCTTTCAATGTAAGATTGATTAGAAAAACTGGTTGAATATTCATTTTTCTCTTCAATTGCTTGGTCATTGTCTTGATTACTGCAGTTTTCATCAGAATCACTTTCATCTGAATCTAAAATATTAATATGACTGGAATACAATTAAACTTCTAACGTGATTATAGTAAAGTTTTAATATATTTATACAATAGGAATGAACTACATTTACTGAAAAATTCTTTTTGCTTTAAATAAACAAAGTTAATAATATTTTTAATTTACACAGAATATAAAATGACATTGAAAAACGACAAGAAATAATGTTACTTACTGTTTTTCATGTTTGCTATAAATTTATTTAACACTTCCAACCAATAATGTTCAATTACTTTAAACAAATAGTTGCAGAACGTAAACAGGAACTTATCTGCTTAATAAATGCGATTATTTCTATATTATACAACTTTTGTTTAAAGTGCTTATGTTACAAAACATGATGTTATCATTGCAGGTTATGTTTCTTATTATTACCATCATGAAAATATAATCTTATGCAACAATTATTAATATGATATTTTGAAATAACTGAACAATCAGTATCACAACGAATACAATGACTATATTTAGACAAACATAATTAAACTAAGAGGAAAGAACAGTACCGATTGATGAGAAATATACACGAACATTTTGATTTAACACTAGGATTCGGTATTGCCAACTAAAGAAATATCGAGCACAGCAGCACAGCAGACTCTAGTCAACCCCTGTGGCTTGGGGGGATTCAGGGGGATTAGAATAAGGCTACGGTATGCCCTGCCTGTCATAAGAGGCGACTAAAAGGACACACACAAACAGACTCAAAAAGTATGGCAAATGTATAGAATGAGATTTGAAAAAAGGCGTGGAAAGCGCGCGTGGCCAAAAGTGTTCGTTGGGCAATAGAGGGGCGGAAAAGTTCCTATAATACGCCAGCTCTAAGCGATAAAGGATTAGGGATGTGTGAACGCATCCCTTATTTGCCCAAAAGGGCAAATTTAAGATGAAGATGAAGATAAAGATGAAGCAGACTTTAGTACTAACCATGCTGAACATAGTGGCAACACCGCTCACGTGACAATCGGGAGTCCTATTTTCAAAAACAGAGTCCTGTGCTCGTTTAATTAAAAGCTGTAGTAATATACACTATTTTGTATTAATTATGTATAAACAATACATAAACGTTGCAACTATGGCAAGTAGAAATGATGTTGTAGTATAAAATTCTTATAAATGTGATATATACAGGGTGTCCCACGCAACTGGAACAGGCTGTACCTCCTAAACGGTTGGGAATAGAAGATGTTATAAGTAATAGTTAAATGGTATCGGACGGTGCATAATATGCAACTAATTTTATGCACTTTTGTGCATCGGTGCATCAGAAAAATGCAACTGCACTTTTTTTTTTAATGGAAACCTATGTTTTTGACTGCACCAGTCGATGCAGTTTCTTGTGCTCTACATAAAAGTACTAACATACTTATGCCCTAAACTTATTCGTTAGGAAGTTTTCGAAGCTAAAGCTTCTCTGAATTATTTTGGGCTCTCGGCAAGTGTTCCGGATTATTTACATTATGTTCCATTACAATGTTTGTAAACATGAAGCGGCTGCTAATACTAGTCACTGTAAGATTAAGAATTCCATGAGTAACAATTCACTACCCGTGTGCGATCGTTTGCCGACCCGATTTTATATCGATTTTAGCTTCGATAACTTCCTAACGAATAAGTTTAGGGCATAAGTATGTTAGTACTTTTATGTAGAGCACTAGAAACTGCATCGACTGGTGCAGTCAAAAACATAGGTTTCCATTTAAAAAAAAAGTGCAGTTGCATTTTTCTGATGCACCGATACACAAAAGTGCATAAAATTAGTTGCATATTATGCACCGTCCGATACCATTTAACTATTACTTATAACATCTTCTTCTATTCCCAACCGTTTAGGAGGTACAGCCTGTTCCAGTTGCGTGGGACACCCTGTATTTTGTGTACAGAAGTAGTGTGGTATTGTGAAGCATGATGGCTGCACTTCGTCTTAGGGGACCAAAAATTTTTGGTTAAAAATTATCAAATGTTATAGTTTTTGACCTGAAAAGTCCGAAAATGCAAGTTAAAAGTTTAGGAAACCAATAGTTTAAAAGATACGAGTACATGAAAATGTGTGTACTTGGCGTACTTTGACAGGTCAGTACGACGCCATATTGTCCAATGAGTGGAGTCGCCGTCGGTAAAACAGAATTATATAAGTGGCGGCCTAAACCCGGTATACCTAAGGTTAGTTTTTTTTTATAAACAATATCCCTTCGAATTTGATAGGAACTGATGGTACTCACACCCAACAAATAGAGTCCAAACAAAGGATTGGATGCAGGGAAGGGTAATTATTTAGATTACGGGCGGTAACTCCGATTTCGATGATTTTTGAATATGTTGTAGAAATCAACATTTTGAACAACTTTTTCCTATACATATAACCGCCGCTCGGCGTTAGTTTTCGAGATATTTTCGAAAAACTGTCGAAACTAATACATTGAATTCTGCCTGTTCGTGTGCGTCCGTGTACTTCTTACGCGTCAGTGTGCGATCGCCGTTTTTCTATTGTTTTTGCAGGCAGCAGTACGGTGACCGACACCAATATATAACAGGTGGGCTTAAAAATTAAATTTAACTAATTTTCATGATTTTGAATCTCAGTATGTGTGTCTGGTCGCCGTTAGGCGACCAGAATATCACTTTACCCTAACCTAACTTAATTCACTGATTAGGTAGAGTAAATTGGGTTAGGTTAGGCTATATTAAATTCCCAGCTGCCATCATAGCTACGATACATTGAAATCATGAATGCAGAAGTACACAAGGTATATATGGTCATCGGTCGCCGTGCTGTTGCCTGCAGAAACAGTAGAAAAGCGGCAATCCCATACTAATGCGTACGTTGTCACGGACGCACATAGATGGCCAGAATTCAATGTGTTAGTTTCGACAGTTTTTCGAAAATATCTCGAAAACTAAAGCCGAGCGGCGGTTATATGTATAGGAAAAAGTTGTTCAAAATGTTGATTTCTACAACATATTCAAAAATCATCGAAATCGGAGTTACCGTCCGTAATCTAAATAATTACCTCGGATTTTCGGACTTTTCAGGTCAAAAACTACAAGAACACAAGAACCACAAGTTTGACCAATTGAAACGTTTAAGAATTGATAAACGTGTATATAAGTTAATAAAAACTTGAAACAAGCGAAATTATTGAAACGAAACCAAAGAAGTTATGTGAAGAGAGCAGCCGGGAGTCTGACGATGGTGGGAGCCTGGGAGTCCAGAAGGCAGATAAAGTAGGATAGGTGTTGATATACATACATATGTACATATTCAGACCGGACTTCCACGGTGTTCAGTGACTACAGATCTAACAAGACTAAACATGCCTTTGTTGATTGTTCTGGAAGGGCCGTGAATTTGTGCTTCGAGAACGAACGCCATCTGCTCTATCCTAGTACAAAAATGTGAAACACTTCGCACTGCAATAGTCTACGATAACGGAAAATTGCTTCGATACCAACGGCTATATCTCTTTGGTCAGTGTCTCGAGCTCAGTGTTGCCATATCTCTGAAGAGCAAGAAAGAGAATTGTGTAACGAGATAAAACGAGATAGAATATGTCAAAGGGATATTTATATTATATTTATATATAATGGGATGAAAGCAGATATATGCTTGTGTGAAGTGCGAACACCAATTGCCATGTATATGGAAATAGATGTAGCAATACTGCAAAGTATTATACATGTATTCGTTTCTTCAGTCGATAAGGTAGTTGTGCCATGCATGCTCCTGCGAGGTGTGGTAAGAGAAGAACTGATAAAACAGACACAACTGTTATACCAACTGTGGAAACCCAACCTCACCTTGGGGTACCGGGTACTCCAATAATGACGCCCCAGCAGTAACAAAGGCATGTTTAGTCTTCTTTTTACTTCAGCACGGCTAGTATTAGAGTTGGCTGTGATAGTCGACATTTTAGATAGAAAAATGTTGGCTTCCCTAGGGAAAATGGCGATGCCCCCACCCCGTCCAGGAGTTCGTGGGTTCCGGGCCCCCGCCGTTGGCTGCAACTTTCCTGAGTTCTCGGCCACTCTCGTAGAATTCCTGAGTTCCGTGGTTCGGAACTTCTGACTCATACGCCGGCCACCCGTTTTTCCTAGTGGGCGATCCCGAATCCCAAAAAGAAATAACGATGTAGGCGAAGGGGAAAAGGCCCAATATATATGTACATACAGCATCAATGATAGTGTCAGATCGTCTAGTGAAAAAGCACTAAAGGGAAAAGTGCCCCCATCATCAGGTCACGGGCGAGCGCGCAGCCATTATGCCTCATTCACATGAGAAATACCTTTATACATATAAGGTGTCCCGTAACTTCTATAACTCCCGGAAATGAGGGGTTGCTGAGGTGATTCTGAACAACATTTTCCTTTACCAAAATGTCGTTTGAAGCTTCGTTTTTGAATTATTAACGAAAAACACTGGCCAATCAGAGCGCGCGCTGAACCACGAAAGCGTTGGCTTTCAGCCGCGCTCGGTCGTGGTCGTGAACAAATGGATTGGCACAGCGTGGGTATCAAGGGAAGCGTGCGATAAATGTTACATCGTCTTAAATTAAGAACAATGTGGAATTATTCGTTATTCATGAATAAGGGTGAACTTTACTTTACCGGACCCAAAATTTTGGACTTTTTTTTTTGAATCTATAGTTTTTGATGCGGAGAATCTAAAAATGCAAGTCTCAACTTTAGGAATCCAATGGTTCAAAAGTTATAAGCATGTAAAGTTTGATATTTTTAGCGCATTTGCTACGTTACTGTGACGCTATATTGGCTTCTTGACCAATGAACGGTGTTGCTAGCTGCAGGCAGCTTCACCTGGGTGCCGACTACTTTGGCGGGTCTAATCAAACCGTTTTAGCTAAATGTGTTTTCTAGATGTTTAGCTTTTTGCCTTTTCAATTATTCTGCAGCCAACAAGTAACAGATTTTTCAGAGTTTCTTATACGTTCAAATTTATATGTAAATTTGATACTGTTTGAGTTAGTTAGGTGTATATTTTTTTAAAGAGAGAGAGAATTCAATTTTATGAATAATTTAAATACAGCTACTGATGGCACCCATACACAACAAATAGAATCGAATTGGCGCCCGGCAAAGGACTGGATGAGGGTGGGGGTCGTTTTCACGACGACGAATTTGCTCATCGTTTATGTGAATTTCTGTGGCGACGGTTTTGCCGTCATAATAAAATAGATCTGATGAGATCTATGATGGAGGCGATTCGGCGACAATATGTTTTTCGTTAAGGTAAGCAGAAGTTTAGTTCTAGACTATACGAGGACCAATCAGGTTATACATCTAACGCAATATGGCGTCGCAGTAACGTAGCAAATCCGCTAAAAATATCAAACTTTACATGCTTATAAGTTTTGAACCATTGGATTCCTAAAGTTGAGACTTGCATTGTTGGATTCTCCGCATCAAAAACTATAGATTCAATTTAAAGATAAATAAAAAAAAAAGGTCCAAAATTTCGGGTCCGGTAAAGTAAAGTTTACCCATGAATAACACTACATAAGTGTCCCGACCACAGCCGACTCTAGTACTAGCCGTGCTGAAGTAAAAATGGCAACACCGCGGGAGTCTGGTCTGAATATATCAACACCTAGCCTACTCTATCTGCCTCCCGGACTCCCGGACTCTCAGCCAATCAACGTCGTCAGACTCCCGACTACTCTCTGGACTTCACATAACCTCTTTGGTTTCGTTCCAATAATTTCGCTTGTTTCAAGGAAAGATGGTTTCATTTTGCTTCATACCTAAATTTTCTTGAAACCACTGTAAATATTTCAAATATCATGCTTCACAACACCAAACTACTTTGAAAGTACACAAAATATATATCACATTTATAACAATTTTATACTACCACATCACTTCTATTTGCCATAGTTGCAACGTTTATATATTGTTTATACATAATTAACACCAAATAGTGTATATTACTACAGCTTTTAATTAAAAAAGACGTTAATTACAATTCCGAGCACAGGACTCTGTTTTTGAAAATAGGACTCCCGATTGTCACGTGAGCGGTGTTGCCACGTTGTTCAGCATGGCTAGTACTAGAGTCGGCTGTGGTCCCGACCACAGTCCCGACACATTTACGAATTTACCAGAATTTACATGAACTCCAATCAGCAGCGACAGGTTGACAGAATATATGAGTTTTTTATTGAGTTGACTCTCACGACACCCATCTCGAACTCCCACCCAAACAGATAATTAAGAATCTTAAAAATTTGACATCAAATCAAGAATTTATCACAATGATCCCGCTGTTCCCAGCTTGTATGTAAATAGATTCATTCTTCGTTAGACAGTAGGTACAGACTGCAAATAAAAGAAAAAATAATAATTAGCATGAATATACCATTTTTATGATTACGTACAAATGTATTTGTATAGACAGTATGTATCTTGTTTAGCATTGAGAATGCAAATGCGTTTGATTACGTAAATACAAACTTTCAAATAAATGAATAATTTCGTTTCATTGTTTTTGTGAGAATGAGATTTTAGTTATTATCAAAGAAATTAAATTATTAACAATAGTACATATATCTTTAATTGTTTCTTTCAAACGTTAGGCGATTTAAATATTATTATTAACCCTTAAGTAGCATGATAGGATAAGATTCGACCTTGTCAAAGTTAAATACTTAATTTTTCTACTCAAAGATAGGTAATTGTATAAGTTATTCAAAGAATAGTTTATGTAAAAAATAGAAAGGTGAATTGTTTCATGTAAAAAATATGTTAACAAATATGTGTATATAAATGGAAATGATAAAACACTTACTTATATATTTAAAATCAATATAACAAATATATATTTTAATTTATGGCAGTTATAGGCTAATAATAATATATTGTTACTACGAATATTGCAAAGAAAGAAGGAGAAAATTATTAAAATTCACATTAATAAATATTAGTTGTATATAATTCAAAGTAACAAATAAATTCTGTAAGTGACATTAGATATCCAAATAATACTGTAACTGATTTTAAGATTAGTAAATTTAAATTTAATAAAAGTTCATTTTTAAAATGATTCATCACTTTTAAAGAATCATTTTCTAAATGAATTATTCTTTAAATTAGTGTAAATATTATTGATTTATATGTATATTTATATTCTAAAATGTAATAATGAAAATTACATTTCATACAATGAACCTTAATTTATTGTATGAAACTTAATATGAAACTTTATTTATTTTTATGTGTTGTAATTGGGAAACTATGATTTCTGTTAGGTACATTCTGTGTACCGTACATGACTATGGGAAGATGCTCTCTTTTGTCACTAATTCGTACATACAAATTACCTAAGAAAAGATACAGTTACATTTGTGGTACAAAATCATATTTATTTCAAGGTGCTTTCATACCACTACCTGTACTTCGGTTAAATAGGTAGTATATTTGACTACAAATTTAAACGATATTTATATTCTGTTTCTTTGTTGAAGAAAGTATCTTAAATTTTGATTTATTTACATAGAAATTACTGTATAAGAGTATTCCATAAAAAGCATACATAAAAATGATATTAGTATTGATCTAGTAATAGAAATCATTTTTGTTATTTGTTTACAGTCATAATGTATTAATTATATTGAAGTTATAGCATGTGCAATCAATTTAAAATAAAAGGAATATTAAACTTCAATTTGTTATTTTTCCTGAAAATATTTAGTACAATATGTGTAACATTTTTTTCTTAATTCATTAAATAATGGTTTACATGAATTGATTTATTATTATAATTTAACTTTAATTCTAAATTTGTTGTTATATGTATTACATGTATGTATACATAAATCAATCACTTTATAGGATAGTTCAGAAGTCACAGACTTTTGTTTCAATGTCAGCAAATATGGCTTCAAGCAATGTTGAAAATCTGGCACAAAAGATGAATCGACTAACTTTGGAAAAGTCACCTTATTTACTACAGCACGCTAAGAACCCAGTGGATTGGTATCCATGGTGCACAGAAGCGTTAGAAAAAGCAAAGAAGGAAGACAAATTAATTTTTTTATCTGTTGGATATTCTACTTGCCACTGGTGTCATGTTATGGAAAAAGAATCATTCAAAAATGAAGAAATTGCTGGTATTATGAATAAAAATTTTGTTAATATAAAAGTAGATAAAGAAGAAAGACCAGATATAGATAGGATATATATGACTTTTGTACAAGTAAGTAATTGATGTTTCATTAAATTTTAAGCGAACATGATAAATTAAAAGTTATTTTATGCAGGCAACGACTGGTCATGGGGGATGGCCAATGAGTGTATTTCTAACTCCTGATTTAAGACCTGTAGTTGGAGGTACTTATTTTCCTCCAGAAGATACATTTAGACAAACAGGATTCAAGACAATTTTACTCAATATTGCTCAAAAGGTAAAAATATTTTTATTTATTAATAATACTTTGAAAAAGTATAAATATTTCTTACATTTTGTTCATTTAATTACATCGAATTTTCATATTTTTTCATCTGACATTACCATATTAGGATAATATCTCATATAAATATGTAAATTTTTTACTTTCTATATTATTTTGCAGTGGAATTCACTCAAAACCAAAATTACAGAAGTTGGCTCTGCTAACTTCGAAACTTTACAAACCATTTCTAAAATTCCACAAACATCAAAGGTAAAATAATAGGTACTAATTATTTATGTCCTCTTCTTTTTTTTTTTAACAGAGCTGTATTATTGCTCAGTGATTTTCTGATGTAGAAACACGAAGTACCTTCGTTAGAATGTAGTGATCTATGTGTTCAACAACTAACGAGTGAATTTGAACCAAAATTCGGTGGATTTGGTTCTTCATACAGTATGCAGGCACCAAAATTTCCACAACCAGTGAATTTGAATCTCTTGTTTCATATGTATGCTCGACGATCCAGTGAAGAGATAGCACAGCATTGTCAATATATGGCTATACATACTTTAAAGAAAATGTCTTATGGTGGTATTCATGATCATGTAGGTCAGGTAAGTTTTTTAATCCTTGAATAATGGATGGTTTGGTAATATATTATCTAATATCTTTTGATGATTTGAATTCTCAGTTCTGTTAAACAATATATTTCTTTAAAACACAGTTGCCTTTTGATTATTATAAAACAAATAGCTCTAGATTCAAATGATTCTTTATATATTAATATTCATTCAAGCATTAGGTTTATTTAATATTTGTTTTTTAATCAGGGCTTTTCAAGATACTCTACTGATGGTGATTGGCACGTACCCCATTTTGAAAAAATGTTATATGATCAGGGTCAAATAATGAAGTCTTATGCGGATGCATATCTTGCAACTAAAGATAATGATTTTGCTGAAATTATTGATGACATTGCCACATATGTGATAAGGGATCTCCGACATCCGGTATAATTTTTCCTTATTCAGAATGTTGTACCTATGTTTACGTTTACTATTTATTACGTTTACCTTAGGAAGGTGGCTTTTACAGTGCTGAAGATGCAGATTCCTATCCAACACACGATGGACATGCAAAAAAAGAGGGTGCTTTTTACGTGTGGACTGCTAAGGAAATTAAATCACTTTTAGATAAAGAAATTTCTGATGAAAAGCATATTAAATTGTCTGATGTATTTTGTTATCATTTCAATGTAAAGGAATCGGGAAACGTAAAACCGTATCAAGTATGTTATATGTTTTTAAAATAACAGTATTGTGTTATTATAAGTAGTATTGGTTGAAAAAGGAAACGTTACTTAATCGGGTGAGATCAGGAGAGAGTCTGAAAGTAGATATTTCCTACGTATGAATACTGGGGATTCGAAAAACTTTCGGGTACCCAAGACTTGATTTATGATAGTGTGTGAAATGGGTTGTATGTAAGTAGATGGCAAACCCAAGATTTGTTTATATCTCATTCGAGTTTTTCCAACTAGAACCAAAACTCGGGTATCCGATATATCTGCCTACTTGCATATTCCTAATTGTCAATTATAAAAAAGGTTAATCATTAATTTCAGGATCCACATGGAGAATTGACAGGGAAAAATGTATTAATAGTATACAATGGAATTGAAGAAACGGCCAAGCATTTTGATTGTACCGTTGAAGAAATAAAAGATTATTTGAAAGAAGCATGTTCCATTTTATACGAAGCTAGATTGGCGAGGCCGCGACCTCATTTAGACGACAAAATTATTACAGCGTGGAATGGTAAAGAGTTATAAACAAAATTTGGAATGCGCAGTACCGAGCACGGCAAGCTTTTCTAGGAAAAGTAATGTTTAAATTATAGAGTGCAAAGTTTTGAAATTTAGAATTTTAGTTTCAAAATTTCTAAAATTGCCAAGTTTCAAAATATATTAATAAAAAAAATGTTCCCGAGTAAACATTGATGCGCAAAAAGAGGAGTCTTTTCCCTAAAGAAATCTACTTGCTATGCTCAAAGGTGTACAATGTATTAACGAAATCCGTTGAATTTTTTACTAAATTATTCGTGTTTAGGTCTTATGATAAGCGGTCTAGCGTATGGCGGAGCAGTAGTAGAAAATAAGCAGTATGTCGAGTACGCGGCAGATGCCGCGAAATTTATCAAGCGTTACCTTTTCGATGAGGCTAAAAATATACTACTTCACAGTTGTTACCGGAACACTGAAAACCAAATTACGCAAATGTAATTGTACAACTGTTAATATCACATTATGCGAGCAACATGAATTTTAATGTTACACTTTTAGGAGCACACCTATACCTGGTTTCTTAGACGATTATGCGTTCGTTGTAAAAGGACTGTTGGATTTATACGAATCTAGTTTAAATGAACAATGGCTAGAATTTGCCGAGAAGTTACAGGACATACAGGACAAACTATTTTGGGATGAAATAAATGGTGGATATTTTACAACAACGTCAGATGATCCTAGTATAATTGTAAGACTTAAGGAAGGTATGTTTAGGTGCTTTCAACATCATTTTAACTCATTTATCAAAATTCTCACCGTTTCACATTGCACACATGGTAATTGTAATAGTGTTGTACTCTCAAAGAAACCAACATCATGCAGTAAAGCTGAGCGGATCTAAATATTTATAGAAGTGTTTGCTCCGTGTTTTATTGCGTTAAGTTCATTCTGTGGTAGTTTTGGATTAGCATACCATTTGAAAGTAAGCAGATTTATATTTTTCTGTATAGCTTATGATGGAGCAGAACCATCCGGTAATTCAGTTGCTGCCGAAAATCTCTTGAGATTAGCTGACTACTTGGGTCGTAGCGACCTCAAGGATAAAGTTACACGTCTCTTTGGAGCATTTAGACACTTGTTAACGCAAAGACCTATCGCAGTTCCGCAATTAGTATCAGCGCTTGTTCGTTATCACGACGATGCAACACAGGTAGCTATTAATTTACATATTCACAGAAACTATATAAATTGTGTATTCATTTTTTAATTTATTATTAGATTTATATAATCGGAAAGCGAGATGCTGAGGATACCGATGATTTACTTCGCGTTGTATATAAGCGCCTGATTCCTGGAAGAATTCTTTTCTTAATTGATCATGATGAAACAAATAGTATATTACTTGGTAAAAATCAGCATCTTAGAAATATGAAGCTTGTGAATGATCGAGCAACAGCCTACGTATGTAAACATCGCTCTTGTACTTTACCTGTTACAAATTCTCAACAATTAACTGCGTTATTAGATAAACAGCAATAAAAAAAAGTACATTACTCAGGGATAATAGTTAGGTACAGTATCGAGAATGGTAGTTATCAATAAGTATTATAAAATTTTGAAGTTCCGAGGTGCTAAGTTTCAAAATGCGAATTTAAAAATTTTAGAGTGCAAAGTTTCAGAAAATATTAAATCAAAGTTTCTGGAGTAAATGTTTACAAGCGAGTAGTGGGGGTCTCTCCCTATAGCGCCATTTTCCCTAGGGAAGCCTACCATGCTTGGCAGTGTACATACATACATTAATATTACTATGATTCAGGTATGTATATTGCATAAGTAGATGTATGTGTAATTAAATGACATTTAATTATGTATTGTACCTTTTATTGTAATTATAAATTAATAGTGTTGATAATACTGTTACATAAATAATCGTTGAGAATTCATGTAAACACTCTCTATTTTAATAAAATAAAGGTTTGAAAATAAATATGCATTATTTGCTTCAAATTAATTGTTATGTTTTGAAGTAATATTAAGTAACAATGGATTTAAAAACTTTAGTGAATGTATTGGTTCATGATCATCGACTGATTTTTGTTAGCAACGATGTAGTACGGTGTCTACCACAAAATCTCGTGTCGAATTCCAACCGAAAATAGATACGGTATATAAACCAGTAGAGGAAGAGAGAGAATGAAGGAGTACGAGAGAGGAAAGCCGGAATGAAAAGCTCCAGAGGTTCAGTTTCAGGGAAACAGTCATAAATGTATCCTTGTTTCTTTAAATAATATCAACGTATCTATAACATTGAACTTCTATAGTTACGAATATCAATAAAATTTCAGATGTCACTTGTTAAAGTTAAACCTGGAGAAAATCTGATAACAAGCTATCAGATTTATCTTTTATAACATGCCGTAATTAACGAGGAGCCTTTGATAATTACTCGGTGAGATTAAAATAAAGTCAGAAGCTGGAGGCCTGACGTTGGTCCAAGCATCGTCGAGTAAGCACGTCGCCTTGAAAGAGAAGACAGAAGAAAGCACGCGTGGCACTTTATTGGCAATGAAAACGAAAGCGACAAGATCTCTCGAGAAGTCTGTAGAGGTTGCTTGCGTCTTCCTTCTCGTTATCTCTTACCTTTTTCCCTACGCTCGAGTACTTACTAGCCGTGGAGACGTCGGCTGGCGCAGAGGGGAGTGTAAAGGCGTAGGAGAAGGAGGGCAGAGGAGAGGATCTCCTGATCTCGAGGGTGGATGCAGGAGGTTTATGAAGCGGACAAGCGAGGGACGCGTAGACAGAAGGGTCGCGCATGCGTTTCGTTTCGTCGACAAGGATGTTCGACGTTTTTTTCAGTCACCGGTCGACGCTGCGCCGGGCACCGTCGACGCGCAGATTCGCGAACTGATGTGGGCCGTAGTTCTTGACGGTAATTCCTCTCCAGGCCAGCATCAAATCCGACACAGTTAATCGGCTGCGATCTCAGTTGACGAGTTACCGAGGGGAGGAAGATACGTTTACAGTGGATAGGCGATTCGGTTAGTTAACTCGATCAAGGGGAGCCACGCGACACACCACGCGCTTCTCACGCGCTTTGCCTTTTCCATCTTACTGCCAGAAGTGTCTCCCTCGAGCACGTATCTCGTACGTTCTCCAGGTCAGGTGCTCTCGTCGCTCGATGTTTTCCACGATCAAAGGTAACTCGCCCCCTGTCCGACCGTTCGCTGTGCCGTGAGCGACCACACGGTTGGTCCAGGTGAAGTCGGAGGGCACAGAAGGTGAGAAACTGCAGGTGAGAAACCGGGCAAGCGCATCGCGAGGTATCACGATTACGCACCTGGATATCACCGCTATCGCTGCCTACGTAAAATGCGGCCAGTGGATGTGCAGCAGTGTCTTCGATCCCGCGATTGTGGTGAACGGCATGGTGAATGTTTTAACCGGTAGAGTGTACGAGGAACGTGTCGGTGTGTCGTCAGGGCGATAGGGAAGAAACGACTGAATTACGGGTCCTCGATGTTGTTCTTACCTGTCCACCCGGTCCCGTCGACACCAACGTTGTCGCAACCGCTCAGGAAATATCTTCCCTCTGACGAATCTTCCAGCAGTCCTTTCTGGAAATCCACGGAGAGCCACGAGCCATCAAGTCGCTGAGCGCCTCTCGAGTTCATCCTCGGACGAGACCCAAGCCCGGGAAGTATGTCGTTGCATTATCCTCAAGGATATCGGTATCGTCCGGCGAGCAAAGCCGTTGGAGGTGGGAACGTGGAACAGGGGTCTGACAGTGACGTTGCCGAGCTTAGCGATCTCGAGGATGACGAGGACGAAGACGGGGCCGGACAGTCATCCAGCAGACGCATCATTCGCCAACGGAGGGACGACGACGATGACGACGACGACGATGACGACGAGGACCAAGAGGACGAGGATGAAGAGGAGGAGGATGACGATGAGAACGATGATGACGAAGGGGAGGACGAGGTGGATGGCGACGAGCTACCCTATCCTGGTTTCGTGTCGGTTGCCTTGCGATACCTTGACCAGAATACACGACCGCGCAACTGGTGTCTGGCGCTCATCACTAATCCATATCCTTTTGGAACGGAACGATAACCTTATTGTTTGGAAACGATCATTATTTTTTATTACATTTTGTTTACGACAGCTCTTTACGACTGTTCCAGCTTGGTCCAAGATGTAAAAGTAAGTTGTTTCTAGCTGTACTCAATTTAAGGATTTCGAGTCACTTTCTCCAGGGTAAATTCTTGAATTTCCACTCCTATTTTCTCTGCTCTCACTCGTGAAATATTTTTATTTATTATGCAAAGTTTAAACGTCGAAGGAAGTTTCTGTAGGAGATTTAATTTTACAAATGTGTTTCTTGCATTTTTAGCTTAGTCGTATAAATATTTTTAGTTGAATTTTATTATTGCATGTCTGGGATTTCTTAATTTAAAAGCAGATATCATTGGATTATTTAAATAATATTTATATTTTATATAGGCGTTGTACAATACACAGAACGTGGACAAAATGGAAACACTAAGAAATTTTAGAATCATTTTTTTTAATTAATATAGTTACTTTCTTTGAATATTACTGATTCAGTTTGGTCAGTTTTTGAAACTGTATCGAAACATAGATAAATATCTTTAATACCTCTAGATATTCATCATGAAGAAGATTGTAAAATTCTAGTAGAGTAGAGACCATTTGAAACCTGTAGGAGTTCATTCCATGAACTAGGATCGTATTGCTGGCAAAACGTGGTCCAATATCTACTGCATTAAGGGGGTTAAACTACCCTGGGAAATTAAAAAAATACTACATTTTTGGAAATTTATTTCTAACTGATGAAGATACTTTTTTCATCAAAATTTTTAATAAAGCCATAAAAATGTGTGAATAATGTACACATTTGTTTAGAAACAAATATAGTAGTTCAACGTGTATATCTGGACGCTGCATTGTGATTTCTGATGAGCAGATCTCTGAAACAAAATTTAAATGGAATATTAAACAAATCTAGCAATAAGTTGTTCATTATTTGATATTTTAACTTTTATCTAACTTGTGTAATAATAAATGGTCATTTTCTTATAAGAGGACAGATTTTGCTTTAAAGTGCCGTTGTTTTGTTATTTTTAACTTACAATAAACAATAGATAATTTTTTGTTAGATTTGTTTAATATTTCATTGTTCAAATTCTGGGTTAGAAACTTGTTCATCAGAAATCCCTGCAATCACTGTCTGTTTCATTTTTGTTTATAAAAAAAAATTGGATATAATATTTATACATGTTTCTGTTTTATTCCAACCTTTTGTTTAAACAAAGTGTCTTTGTCATTTTGAAATAAATTCTCAGAGGTACGGTATTTTTTGAACTGGTCAAGGTTGTCTAAACCCTTGACACATTTAATACCACAGAGGTAAAAACTAATTTTGTTAAATAATTCAACAAAGGAAAAAATTGCAATTGTGAATGTTAATGATATTACATCGGTAATATAAAGTAGTAAGCTCAGGAATGCAATCGAAAAATTGCACGTTCGTATGTAGGTATATGTTTATTGTTATAAGAATTATTATTGATCGACATCATAAATTTAATATATTCAAATAATTAAACAGTAAGAAAGAAAAGTTTACGAAAATTTTGAATAGTTTAAACATTGCATTAATAATGTGAAATTACAAAATTTTAAAGTTCAACTATAAAAAGAATAGTTGACATAGTTAAAACAATTATAAATAATTATTACAAATTAAATAATTAATAATTATTATTACAATATTTTATAGAAACCATATACAGTTAATAATTAGCACGTTGAATAGACGGTCGTTTTACACTAATTTTAATTGCATACACATTCACATGTATACTCCTTTCGGTGTATTTATATACTTCGTTATAATTAAATATATTTTACATGTTGTATACAATTATAATAACATTATTATGGTCATTCATAGAGTCAGTCATAAAGTATTCGTCTTCCAAGAGTTAATAATTCATAATGTGTCGTAGCAATACAGTTGCTTTTATTGCCTGGGTTTCATTATTATATTCAACCTCAGTCTATTACGAAAGTAGTAAAATTGATTTTTAAACATATTTTTCTCGCCAACTTTTCTGTAAAGTGCTCCTTCATAGCCGCACGTTTTGAAGTAACATATTTTTAAGGACCCTCATTTTAGCATTAAAAGGGTTCTTCTATGAGTTGTTTTAAGTGGTCATAACATCCTGAATATTTTAAATATGGTGAAAATGAAGAAACTTATGGAAATAAGAATTTTTCGGTTTTTGATTTACTTTTACGGAAAAGTAATTTTTGAATTATTTTCTTTTATTTTTCTTTAGTGAATGTACAGAGTATTTTCGTATTTGGGATATTTTTTAATTAATTTTTTCGAAAAGTCCATTAGATACCATTATTGGATATGAGCGACGGAAAATTGGATACTTTTTAATAGATAGTATTAGCAACGTTGTAAATTGATTGATTCGTTATTTGTTTCAACGAACAAACCGTCAACTTGTATTAACAATATCAATGAAACGTGTAGGTAGTCATTTTCAACAAACGTTAACACATTCACCATTAGTGTCACATGTGACATTTTCCTTCTAATTTCTTTTTTTTTAATATGCAGTGGAACCCGTTATATGAATCTTTAATTAATGAACAATATATCTTCTATTATAGTACTGTATGTATCCTCGATATCAAATCCAGCTTCTTTAGGAAAAATGACATTACCGAGGAAACGGGAATTCTCAAAATTTTAATTTTAACGATACTCATAATAAATGTGATATAAAAACAAAATAACATAATTTTTAATTATTAAATATTACAAAATTCAGTAAATAATTAAGAAATATGAATAATAACAGAAATATCAATTCAAATTTTCCCGCGTAAACGTTCACGCGCAAGTGGTGGAAGATTACAAGCCTATATATACGGGACCCTTTCTCCTTTTCTGCCATTGTCCTCAGTGATGCCTATGGTTTAGGGCGAGGAGTCGCGGAATTAGCATTTTCTCTGGGAAAGCGTGATTTGATTGCAAGTGTACATTTATGTATTGTTTACATTAAATAGGTTTTAATTGTTCCTACTTATATCGATTTATTTAATCGGCCCCACTGTAATCTCTAATAATTGCATTTTGTTTTAAGAATTAGATATAATCTGACAATAAGTGCTAATTGCTTGTTGTTCTATTACGTGAACGAGATTAGTTATTTAATAGATATACAACAAACTAATTGATGTAGGCGTTATAGATATTCCTGTAGTTAAAAATGTAGAAATTACCATCACATTTATACATAAATTTTCAAACTTTTAGAAATATGTTATGTTATATCAATGGTTATGAATTTACAACCACAGAATAGATGAAGCACAGATAAAAAATATTGAAGGTTTATAAAAATAAACACAAGTAGATGTCTATCTGTTTGTAATCAGAGGATCTATATAAACACACACGTACTCGATGAGCTTTTAATATTGCCTTCTTGGGAAACATTTATTTCATAATTTCCACTTATTTTTATACGAGGTGTTACTATTTATGGGTCATGTTCGTTAATTTTATTAAGCGTGTCACATTTGACATTGTTAATATTTAATATTAACCATTGTTAATATTGCTTAATTCTAACTTAATTCTAGGGGTCTCTTAAGTTCTTTTATTTATAATTTTGCATAATAAAAAAATTATTAGCTGATTTGTTTTTAATTAGAACTCCGTAATTAAATCTCTGGAAAGCTGGTATTCTATAATTTTGGAATTCCGGAACATTAAAATTTTGGAATTTTATGATTCCGGAATTCTGGAATTTTAGAATTTTAGAACTATGGAATTCTGGAATTATAGAATTTTAGAAGTATGAGATTCTGGAATTATAGAATTGTGGAATTCTAAAATGTTGGAATTCTGGAATTATAGAATTCTGGAATTCCAAAATATTTGAATTCTAGAATTTTAGAATTTTAGACCTACGGAATTCTGGAATTCTTGAATTTTGTAATTTCAGAATTTTAAAATGAAGGGGGCTAGGCCATTCCTGGCACAGCACCCCAAATACAGAATTTAGTTGCATCAATGGGGAATGGTAATATTTAAAAAAAATATTTTCATGATATTATTACATGATATTATTAACTTCTAAGCTATATAAAAAACTTGCACGTTCATACTTCTTTTATGAAAATAAAAATAAAGTTATTGATTTTGGAATTTATCTTGATTAACTTTACTCTTCACGGTAAGCGGCTATAAGCTTCTGAAATAAGTTATAGATCTTTTCTTGAATACCTTGTATATTTGAGAATGGTTCGTGTAAGAGGAAGTTTAAGTTTCTTGTAAAAATAGTTTTCTGTTTCATTTATGAATCATAAATTCCACTTGATTTCGTTCATTGTCATTAGAAATAATTCTGAAAGTACAATTACTGGAAAGAAATTAATTAATAACGAGATAAGAAATTACCATAGATTTAATAAAATAAAATTGATTGTAAAAAGAAAATTTCAGTAATTTGAAAATTCAAAATGATTTGAAACTTTGCAGAAATTTTGTTCTACTGATTTTAATAAGCAATCTATTTTTGGGGGAAATTGAACGGTTCTAATACCAAAAGCACCTCCTAAAAAAAATGGTGAGTTTTCATACTATGTATTGCGAATATTTACGAAACCGTACAAAATATGGAAAGAAAAGTTAAACTCAAAGTTATATGGTTTCGATGTCCTACAAAGGCATGATGAAGAAGTTTTCAAAAAATGTTTCTCTCAAAATAAGTAAAATAACGTTTCATAAAAATTCTTTATCACACAATTTGAGACGTACAGTTATCTAAAATTACTGAACAAAAATGAATTATTTTTGAATTTTGACTATTTTGAGAGTCACCAGTGATCAGCATCATAAATATAATATAATCTAGTATTTCAAACAAAAGTAATAGTTAAGAAAATTTTTAATATGACAGTATACTCTTGTTATATTGCTACGAGGGCACTTTGAACCTCTCATTTAGCAAATTGATTAACTCTACAAAACAAAAAC